AATGATTATCGTACAAGACTTTAGACATTTTTTTTCCTGCAATTAATATTTTGGCCCATTTTCAATACTTTCCTTCCTGCATCTTTTGCACAACTTTTAATGTCACGGCTAGGGTTTTATTCGCAAAAACTTGAAATCACTCTGCAAATTAAGTATCGAATGAGGCAAATTAGACGTTGTTGGGTGGGGGGTGGGAAACCAAGTTGTATTTTACTCTAGACTACATTAAAACTCTAACATCACATCGGCAAAGTTTCGGTTTTTGTAAGTTATCATATATCTAACAGTGTTGATTTGTCCACACTGTTTATATCCGCAAACGTTCAATGTCTGATATACAATAGCGTACACTAGTTATGGGACACTAAATGATTATATACCTTCATTTTGTTAACTGTTTAGCAGTGTACCTTTTACCAGTTGTCTTTGAACCTTAATTGGAAAATAAGTTGTGGCATTTTCATAGGTGAAAATGGCCATGCAAAATAATTGGGTCAGTCAAAGACCCGAGACGATAAAGTCATGATAATATGCAAATTTCTGTGCAGAAATTATTCCATCTTACAAATACGAGTAAGTGCAATGTTCAAAAGCGGGTTACGACTCCAGAAAGTTGTTCTGTTTGCAGCCAGGTGTTTCCCGAAGACTGACCCATTAGCTATCATACAGATGCACATGACCGAGGAAGGAGGTCGGTGTTGTTCTTGCATGGTCCTCAAGACCGTGTTTAAAATAATCGACAAGAGCAGAGAACTCTGTTGTGCAAACTGACCATCCATGTCCTCAACAAGCCATCTTAAATGAGCCTGGTGCTTTTGAATACAAACAAAAGCACACTTGACTATTGAAAAATGTGTGTGTGAGAGATCATAATCCCTTTGACTTACACACAAATAGCATACAAAAGTTTTCGTACAACTACATGAAATGATTATACATCTTCATTTTATTAAGTTAGTACTGTTTAGCAGTGTAGCTTTATCAGTTGTCTGAACCTTAAGGATTGGTAAATAAGTTGTTGCATTTTCAGAGGTGCTATGTAATAGAAGATACACCACTTTATAAACAGCCTGAAGCTGAAAAATGGCCATGCAAAACAATTGAACTAATGAAAGACCCGAGATGATAAAGTCATGATAATGCTCAAATTTCTGAGTAGGAATTATTCCATCTTATTAATATTGGTATTGTAAGGTCCCTTGGTAAGACATTATAGTTGAATATTAGCTCGCCTTTTTTTTTTTTTAAATTAAAATCCTGACTAATATTTCTGTTGAAACAAAGATGAATGTTGTCACTTTGAAAGGGAAGATGATTCAATGAAAGATAGCCAGGTGACTGGGAATTTCTAAAAGCGTTTGCTACTATGGGAGTGTTTCAAGTACAAAGAAAACTGCAAGAACACAAAAGTTAGACAAGCAAGATGAAAGAAATGTTGAGTCTTGGTAGGCAGGCCCTAATTAACAGCCAAATATGGGAGGAGTGAATGTAGTCTTAACAGTGGGGTTTTAGTTGATAGCTGATGCAGAGTATTCCAAGAAAACAATTTAAATGGGTACATAGGAGTCAAAAAGGACAAAACATCATTAACCCAATAACATTGGAATAGAAGATTGAAGTGGTCAAAAGAACATCTAACATGGGATGTTGGAAAGTGACAAAAAATAATTTTTAATGATGAATGCAAAGACATTGTAACGTAATGGAATATTTATGAAGACCAATGATAGAAAGACACACAACATAGATCACAAAGACGTTAAACTTTGCTTATGTACTGGAGTTGAATCAAAAGCGATGGCAGAAGAAAATTTGGTCGAAGATGGAAATCTAAACTGAAAACTATTAGTTTACCTTGGTCTAATCTCCTGTCAAACTACAATGTAGAGATTTTCCAACATGACGCCTTCCAACACGCATCACGGGCAGCAAAAAAGGGGGTTTCTTGTGGATGAAGATGCTCGGCTTTAGCTGGTATTCGAACACGCTCAAAACTGTTTCGACTTAAAAGGTAGAGCATGATTTCTCATCTTCAGCATGGCCACTCGTTTCGAAACATGCCCCATTTGCACGGCTCCAGTTATGTTTCTTCATAACTCACATGAGTAACCTGTGGTTTATAACGCAACAATAGTGAGTGGGCTTTAGTTATGTTTGAAGCATTTGACTCAGCAGGGCCCCACTTACGGTTTTGAATTGCTGTTCTTCTATGCTGGTTGCCAACCACGGTTAGAGAATACAGTCTGCCCTTCTTTTTAATCAACAGCTGGGGTTGGGGGAGTAGAGATGGATTCATACTTTTCCCAAGGGTATCTGTGCAAAAATCAATATAACTATTCAGAGTAGAAAACGGCTCGGCAATTAATTTTGGGCATGTTTTTAATTAGAAACGTTGCATACCTTTTTTTTTAATTAAGGCATGAATTTAAAGATGCCTTCCAGAAACTAAGCAAAGTATTAAAGCATAGAACTGAAAATCTCTATATAAAAAAAGTATAATTTTATTAGTATAAAGATTGTTTTTTTTTCCGTACAGGCAATTTGGGGTGATATCCCTGATATTTTACAATATGAAATTAATATCAACCGGCCTAGATGTCCTTACTAATGAACCATTCTGAGTATGAAGATAAACTACATCCGCGTCCTGGATAAGACGATAAACTACGTCCAACAGCAAGGCCACTGATCAGGAGGTTTTGAGGAGCGTGGAGCCACCTCTTAATTGCTGGTGTTCCCATATTCACTCTGACCCGGGTTGGTTGCACCTGTTAGGGTCCCAGCTATGGGCAAATAGTTAACCTCTAAACTGGGGTAAAAACACTATGCAATACTAGAAGTATTTTGTAAAAAAAAATATACTACCAGCAATAAATTTTTGAAAAACGTATTACGAGCTAAACATTTTTGAAAAAAATATTACCAGCTAAACATTTAAGAAAAATTTTACCAGAAGTAAATTTTTTGAAAAAGAAAATTTCACCAGCAATAAAAATTGTCGGCATTAAATAACCCATTCAAGTTGATATGCCATAAAATAAACCAAACCTTACTAATTAAAATATGCATCTCCGTGTTTCTTAAGTAATTAAGCATTGCCTTAAGCTTTCCTGTAGCCTAATTGGTGAGGGCACATTTTGTGTAGCTTCCATGACAAAAAACGGAATACATCCATGTAGCGTGTGTCGGCCAAGGATACCGTTTCGCAGCCATGTAGCGTGTGTCGGCCAAGGATACCGTTTCGCAGCCATGTAGCGTGTGTCGGCCAAGGATACCGTTTCGCAGCCATGTAGCGTGTGTCGGCCAAGGATACCGTTTTCGCAGCCATGTAGCGTGTGTCGGCCAAGGATACCGTTTCGCAGCCATGTAGCGTGTGTCGGCCAAGGATACCGTTTCGCAGCCATGTAGCGTGTGTCGGCCAAGGATACCGTTTCGCAGCCATGTAGCGTGTGTCGGCCAAGGATACCGTTTCGCAGCCATGTAGCGTGTGTCGGCCAAGGATACCGTTTCGCAGCCATGTAGCGTGTGTCGGCCAAGGATACCGTTTTTCGCAGCCATGTGGCGTGTGTCGGCCAGGATACCGTTTCGCAGCCATGTAGCGTGTGTCGGCCAAGGATACCGTTTCGCAGCCATGTAGCGTGTGTCGGCCAAGGATACCGTTTCGCAGCCATGTAGCGTGTGTCGGCCAAGGATACCGTTTCGCAGCCATCTCGCTGGAAGTATGTGCTGAACTGCTATGTAATATCAATCCTTCAATATGGCTGTGAATACTGGACAATTTTCCACACAGATGAAGAGGAAACTTAAAGCAACAGATGTGGTTCTACAGACAAATGCCGAGAATATGGACTGGACATGTGAGTATCAAGGAAGCCTCAAGGGAAATAACAAATAAATATATACTTGCCATCAGAAAGACAGTTGAAATTTCTGGGAAACGTAAAGAGGAAAGAGCTTGGAGAATTTGACACTCCCAGGATATGTTTAATGAAAGCGAGCCAGAGAAATGCAAACGAAAACTACACAGGAGCTTGCATAAGTAGATAGCAGGACAGGGAGTGGCAGGTAGAGTAGGGGGGGGACAAAAATGCTTACTTCCAAGAGAGTAAATCATTGAGCTTTCTGAGTTCCGCGTTTTCCAATGAAATTGGAATTATTATATTGAATCAATTTTGAGATCTGCTGCTTGGAAAGTTCACTCACTAATTTTCTCGTCAGACTCCATCTTGTATACTCATAAATCTGCCATTCGACCGTGCCTTGGATATTACTACCTGGTTTGAAGATTCTCGACAAAATCCAAAGGAGGATCTGTAATGTTATCGGTCCTGACCTGGCATCTCGGCGTCGGTGCTTTTTTCCCCTGTCTTTTCTATAAATATTTTTATGGCAATTGTTCTAACAAGCTCTCCTCCTTGATATCTAAATCGCATGAATTTAATCCTACTCGATTGGCAGATAGGTCTCATCGTTTTACTATCGAAATAGCTAGATGTAACCGTAAGTTCTAAGTTTATTTTCTAGGTACTCTCTTCCGGCCTTTTGCTTCCCTGTCATATACAATCTTCAAAAATTTAAATGCAACGTCAATCGCCATTTTCGTTTTCTCTGAATCCTGTTCTTTTATTGTCCTTTCTCGTCACTCAAGTTTTCTCTTTCAGTAACCCCCTTTTGTCTTAGTGGCATTATCACCTTGCTGGGGCGGGGCTGGATGATTTAAAAACAAAAAAAAAATACACGTTGACATTTCTGGGGCATATGAGGACAAAGGGCCGGGAGAAATTAACAATCCCACGATATATTAGAGGCCAGAGAAGCTTAGATTAATAAGACATGAAATTGTGGAGAGCCATAACCACTCTTGTCCTGAAGGAACTTGAATTTGAAAATTTCATTCGTTTCTACTTTAAGAAGATTAGAGCTTTGAATTCTTCACAACTAGATCCATGAGGTTGATACGGAAAATTATTTATTCAATTGTGTTGATATTATCTTACAAGATGGGACTTTCTCGAAGCGGATTTGTTAACTTCATTTTCCGTCCTGGGTATGACGATAAACTACGTCTGGCAGCAAGGTCTCTGATAGAGGGTGGGGTTTGAGAAACGTGGAACCACCTCTTAATTACTGTTGTTCCTAGGTTCGCCTTGACTCTGGGTGGTAGGGTCCCAGCCAAGGGCAAATAGTTAACCCCCAAATTGGGATCAAAACACTATGAAAGCATAAAAATGGATTTTTTTATAGTAAAAGTCCAACAATAAATTTTAATAGTAAAAAAATAAAATAAAATAACAAATACCAAAGCTCACAAGAAAATTAAATTTCGACAATAAATGACCCATAAGGTGTTGATATATCGTTAAACAAACAATAATCCGGTGGTTTCGTTTAATAAATTGACCGGTGACCATTTTTCTCGACACTGATACACAATAGAGCAGGTCGATTTTGGAACCGTGATATTGCACTCGATTTGAAAGTTAGGGTTTGACATAAAGACAGAATATTTTTTCCAAATCTGTATCGTGATTTGAGGAAACGAGTTTAAAGATTTAGTTTAGTTTCAAAATCGTAGCGTTGATATTTAATTCTGGTGATCAATGAAAGCCTTATAACACAGCTTTATAAAATTTATAATTTACTGAAGCTTTATAAATTGTATATGGACAAGATGCATGACACAAGCACATTATTACTAAATCATTGTGTCATCAAATAAGACCTTCATTCACTTCAAATGGAAATTATACTGAACAATTTAGCCATATTATGATGTCATATATTTATACAGTGCAGTTGTTTTAGTGTGATTTTCAATAAACAATGCAAATTTAAAACATTGTCTTATAATTTGTGTCCACCAGTATTAGGGTGTTATAGACTTTTATTTGTTTTTATTAAGATCTAACAAATCTTATTCATTGAATACATTTTGTAATCTTTGACAATTTTTTTTACAGTTTTTACTTATCGAATAGTTAGAAAAAAATAATGCATATTTTGAATCTAATTTTTGCTATCAGTACTTATCACATAACATCGCAGCTTTCACATAGTGCAATATTCATTTTTTTTTTTCTTAAGTGAAAAATCAACTTGCCCTAAAGCCCAAGTCCTTTACCAATATAGCACAGAATTAAAACACAAATAACATACAACATTTTTTTATTTTTATTTTTTTTTTTTAATGCCATATCCTTCTCGGATGCAGATGACCATGGCTCGCCACAGCTTCTTTTTAATATCTACGGATTAGCAGGATTACTTGGAAGAGATACTTGTTTCCTTCTACACGGTTTTGATGTCAGAGTTGTCCTGTTGCTAAAACTGACCGGCAACCAAGGCTAGAGATCTTATTCTATCTTACTATTTAACCTATAACTAGAATGAGAATAATTGGATCTATGCATTTTTTTTTCTCCGAAGGTATCCATACAAAGCGAACGCGACAGATTAGGCGGAATTTGAAATCTGCTCAACTATTTAATTTCCGGTTCCTTAACCACCACGTTAGCCACAAACAGGAACAAAAAACTGAAGCTGACTGGATGTAAATCGCCATTATTTTTATGTTCATTTTTTTTTTTTTTTTTTTCCCTAAGGCGCTGCTTCCTGTCAGTGGACGAGGAAATCGGAAGAGGAGTGTTTGAGAGATTGTGTAAGGACCTTCTTTCGCTTCTAGTCCCCCCCCAAACCTCTAGCCGCTTTGGCTTCTCCAGTTCCATCCCTCCCTCACTCCGGCCTTTGGCTTCTCCGGCTCCTCCACCCCCTCTTCCACAAATCTCCGGCCGCTTTGGTTTCTCCAATTCACCCCCACCTCTTCCACAAATCTCCGGCCGCTTTGGCTTCTCCACCACCCCCCCCTTCTTCCACAAATCTCCGGCCGCTTTGGCTTCTCCAATTCACCCCCCCCTCTTCCACAAATCTCCGGCCGCTTTGGCTTCTCCAATTCACCCCTTCTTCCATACAAATCTCCGGCCGCTTTGGCTTCTCCAATTCACCCCCTTCTTCCACAAATCTCCGGCCGCTTTGGCTTCTCCAATTCACCCCCTCTTCCACAAATCTCCGCCCTTTGGCTTCTCCATTCACCCCCCTCTTCCACAAATCTCCGGCCGCTTTGGCTTCTCCATTCACCCCCTTCTTCCACAAATCTCCGGCCGCTTTGGCTTCTCCAATTCACCCCCTTCTTCCACAAATCTCCGGCCGCTTTGGCTTCTCCAATTCACCCCCTCTTCACAAATCTCCGGCCGCTTTGGCTTCTCCAGCTCCTCCCCCCCTCCCCGGCCTCCGACCGCGTTGGATAGACCCGTCGCCTCCAAATTGATCTTCAATTAAACCATATCATGTTTGACGTATTCTATATTTTTTTTCTTTCCAGTGTCTCTTGAACCTTCAAGAGACTTCATTTAATTCGCAGTTTTGTTGATTGTCCTCATTCTCCTTAGGGCGCGAGGTAAATCGTATCTTTTTAATCCTTAGCCGTTTTGTTCACTTTTTGTGTTTTTCTTACCCTTGAACCAAAAATTGAACTTACAAGCAAACCCGATATTATTTAAGCCACGCTTTAATCTGCCAAGACATTTGCCTTTGCCTTTTGTGCTCTGTTAAATCTTCCCAAATTTAATAGTATCTTTTATAATAGACGAAAAACAGTGTTTGCTAAAGGTAGGTTGTTTGTTTTTTGGGGTTTTTTTTTTTTTTTTTTTTTTTTTTAAATATCCGTTCTGTCAGCATAGAGCAATCATTGAAATGTTTCCACTGTCATAACTCTTTGTGCCTGGGTTTCAGTAAATTTTCCTGCAATTTTCCAGTGACATTTTATTAGTAGTTAATCTTTGCAACCATCTTTTAACATTCTTTGTGATTCAGAGGAAGATTTTTGGTATGTGTAATTCCTCCAGTAATCCAGTTCGGTATTTTATTAGGGTTATTAATTAGCTTTGATACAGTTTGTGCAAGAGTTTTATGAATTGATGCCAGATGATGGCCAAAAGTTTGGTACCTTGTCATTTCTTGGGAATTTTGCTAGAGCTTGCCTAACATTATTCTTGGTTTATTATATATATATATATATATATATATATTTTTCCATACTTACACAGGGTTATCTATCTTATTTTCGTTTGATCCACTTTGCATTGGAGTTATATTCCTTTGGATTGTTCCAAATACTCTCCTAAAATGTTTGCACTTCAGTAGATGGTGGCTTTCTGACTTCTATAACTGCTTTTACTATTTCCTTGTAAAACTTTGAGTTTGGAATATCGTATTTTGTCGATAGAACCTACAACGATTTTCATATCTATTTGTTTATTACTAGTATGTGTTTATTCTATAACTGTTTATGCTATAACCAGGACAAGTGTCTAGAATATCGGTTAACAGTTGCTGCACTGTAGACAATTTGTTTGAACGACACATTTTGCGTGTAAAGAAGTTAATGCCTAAATAGTGATACCATGAACTTATCTGTATCAAACATGCTTTCTAAATTGCTGGAAACTAATTAATCGTCCTTTATGCTAAATACATTTGAAATAATTGTTTTCTTTCAGCCATCACTTGAGTGTAAAGACACATGCTATTTACTTCAATTCATCAAATCGCAAATTCCCTGGACTACCACCATCGAAGGTGAGTCATTTACATTAAAGTTGTTTAACAATTATTTTTGTTTTTAAAGTTCACTTCTCTACAAGGCAATAATGCCACAGAGGAAATACAAAAGTTAGGAGCATTGCTGGGAAGCGAGGAGAGAGGACAGCAATTAGTGATTGGCATTGCGTTTAAATTTTTACAGATTAAAGTTGGCTGGAACCGGAAGTGCGAGAAAAAAAATCTGTTAGCATAGAATTTATGGTTTCATTTAGCTAGTTCAACTTTAAAATAACGAGACATCGTCGCCAGTTAAATTCGAAGAATTTAAATCATGTGGGGGGGATTTCTTTTTATACATTAACAGAAAACCAACTTCTTTAAAATTGACTTTTTTAAGTGTTTACATACTACTTATTATACACAAACACTGAAAAAAAAAAAACTTTCACTGCAAAAAAAGGAGGGTACCGTTGAATTGACTATCCACCCCCTTTTTTTTTATTTTTTAGTACTTAGGAGGAACTGTTGGTATACTTTAACTCACATTGTGTGTATATATATATATATATATATATATATATATAAAATAGTGTGTATAGACTAAACGAAATATTTTTCTCGGCTTTGGTTCATACAGTTTAGAAACGACGTTTCGGCCAAGTATCGTTTGACCATCGTCAGTTTTCCATTTTTACGTGGTAGGTGTACCTGTGATTTTCTTTTCCGTTTTTTTTGGGGGGGGGCCGTTTTGGGATTTTTTCCGTTTTTGGGTCTCTCTCTCAGTACTAATAATAATATTAATTAGTATATAATTCTGATTGTCACTCTTTGCCTTGTTAGTTCGCACTAATGGACTATTCCGTTTTGACCGCGTGAATAAACAGAAATGACATCAGATGCTACTTGGTTTCAGTGTGAAAATGAGAGAGGGAAGATAGAAGTGTTTAATGTCTCCTGCTAATACCTCATGGATAATGGACTATTCCATTTTCATCCTATGGAAAAGACATATCAAAGACGCTACTTGGTTTCAGAAAGAAAAAAGGGAATATAGAAATGTTTAAAGTCCGTTTCAGTGAAAGGGGAGGAAAAGTTGTCAATTTCAAATATTTATAATTGTTATTGTAATATCTTGTTAAAGTTAAGCTCAAATATTTAACAATGCAATAAGGAAATTTCTATTTTATTTTCGTATAGCTCTCCATGAATTTATTCTATCATTAACTGAACAATTAAGATTCACCAGAAAATTCAAAATCCATGCCCTCCTTTTGTTAGGTAGTTCTTTGTTTGCACGGCCGTTACGCTTTGCCATTACTACTTTATTGCTGGTCTTGCTTTAAAAATCAAGGAGATATAATTACGAAAGAATATAATTGTAATTATGCTATAAGGCATTCATTTAAAATTTTTACATTCCATGTAGTTACGAGAGCTCAAAACTATTAATTTTAATGAAAAACAGTAACAGTGCAGCAGCTGCTTACTATTATTATTATTACTACTATATTATTATTATTATTATTATTATTACTATTATTATTATTATTATTATTATTATTATTATTATTACTATAATAATTATTATTATTATTATTATTACTACTATAATTATTATTATTATTATTATTATTACTACTATAATTATTATTATTATTATTATTATTATTACTACTATAATTATTATTATTATTATTATTATTACTACTATAATTATTATTATTATTACTACTACTATAATTATTATTATTATTACTATCAATAATAGCCATCACCACCACTAACTACCTCAGAAATGGCTTTGATAATCTCTACGGATCCTTAAAAAAAAAAAAAACAACTAAAATCACACATTTTTTACATAGATAAAACTCTTATTGCGTAAGCTCCAACCACAACTGGAATTATTGATGTCTTCGTGTGCCACATTTTTGTGATTTCATTCAAGATCCTATATTCTGATATTGTTTTTTAAGATCTTCAAAGATAGATTACAATCTGCAGGGACTGCCACATCACATATCGTATAATATATATATATATATATATGGCCCAGTGGATAAAGGCATTGGTTAGATCCAGTGACAGGACCCAAAGAGTGTGAGTTCAATACACGGTTAAGGTAGAGAGGAATTAACAGGAGATAACTGATAACCGACATCCTACCCCAGTGAGCCAAATAAAGGGTTCAGTTCGACATTCCAATCACCTGAAGGCCGGAGCGTAACATTGTAATAAATATGGCGACAAAGATGAGGACAATAGTCCATATATATATATATATATATATATATATATATATATATATATATATATAGAGTCCCATAAAGTTGTTACAGGTCCTACCTCTAACCGGGTCTGGGTGGTGTTTATACCAGTTTCTTGTATATTTTCCTGTGTAGATATTGGCTCTCTTTATCATGCTGAATTTTATATTCAGTGGGTGCTAACAACGTTCAACCTGATACAAAATTGACAATTGTTTATGAATACTTATCGCAGAATCTGCATTTCGGGTCAGCCCAATTCTTCAATGTGTGTTCCTTTTGTAATTATGAGAAAATAATTATTTCTGACCATTTTACGGCAAAATTTTTATTTTAACAGTTCTTGCTTACAAAGTTGCAGTCTGAGTGAAGCATTTCAAGGGTTGCAGAAAAAAGCTCATTCACACTTGTAAATCTGAGAAAATTCTGTCGATTCTCCTTGGTGCCTTGGCTGCATGAATTTAAGTACAAGATTAGCTACCATTTAACTGTTGAATTAGTTAAATACAACCGTATGTTCTATTCTAAGTTTTTTTTTTTTTCGCACTTCTCAACTGCGGAACACCTTCCGCTTTCTTGCTTCCATGACACTTACGTTCTTCAAAAACTCAAATGCTACGCCAATCGCCATCTTCTATCTTCCTGGAATCTGTTCTTTTATTGTCCTCTAATCACTAAAATCTTTCTTTCATCCCTGCGTCCTGGGTATGACGATAAGCTACAACCGGCAGCAAGGTCCCTGGTAGGGAGGTTTTGAGGAGCGTGGAACCACTTCTTAATTATTGGTGTTTTCAAGACCACCCTGACTCTGGGTGGTAACACCTGTTAGGGTCCCAGGTATGGACATATAGTTAAGACCCCAAACTAGGGTCAAAACACTATGAAAGTGTAAAAATAGGTTTTAATACCAGAAATACTTTGTAAAAAGTATTACCAACAATAACAATTAAATATAACCCATTGAAGTTGATATGCCGTAAAACAAAACGAGCATTTTTTGGGGGGAAAGAAATATTGCCAGCAATACCTTTTGAAAACTTTTTACAAAAATACATCAATGTAACCTGATAGACAATCTAATTTCTTACAAAGAACATTCTTTTCGTACGAACCTATTCTAAAAAATCTTATCGGCATTAAATAACCCATTGAGGCTGATATGCTTTTAAAATAAACCAAACCTGTGTCCTAGAGACATTGCTTTGCATGGGTTGAAATGATCAAACAAATGTAACTCCCTTTTAGCAGTGTTGATTATATTTGGTTACTTCAGTTTGATTTACGTAAAGAATGCTGTCACGTTATTAATTATTTGGGGGTATGAACTTATAGTAGGTTCTAGTTAATTAGTGGAGATCATGGCTCTCCACAGCCTTCCTCTATTTTTGTTCGCAAGTAAAACTCTGAAATTGGCTAAATTCTTCTATTTATTTTTTTTCTCTCTCTTACAGAATTGGAAGATCGATTTCC